ACATTACCATTTACTCTATTTTACTTCAAGCAAACTTACATCTCTTGATTGGCTTAACTCCCTAAATAATTGATCGTTAAAATTAAAACTTGAATGCATACCTTTAGGATTTTTAATTTTTAATTTAATTTAATTTAATTTAATTTAACTTTTTCTAGATTTATTTATTTTTATTTATTTTAATGTTTGCAAAAAATTTTTAATATAACAAAGATAGCAGCTTGGCACTCAACTTTACCTACATAAGCGCCATCTATATAATTAATTTGAAGAACACACGTACTTCTCTTTAAAAACACTTTTGCAGACCACAACGCTCATATAGTAGGTAAGTTAGAATTAAAACTTACTATTTACTTACTTTAAGTATTTTTTAAAAGTTTTTTATGTAGTATTTAAGTATTTTCTAGATATGTAATTATTTTTTTAAATATATATATATATATATATTTTTTTTTTTTTTAAATTGTGAATTAGTTCTTTTTGTTTCTTTGGTTTATATGGATTATGTCTAGTTCTTTTTAGTTTCTTTTATTGATATGCATATTCGTGTCGGGGAGATTTCTGTAGACAAGGGACTCTAAAACATTTATTTCTAAAATAAATTATTTTTTTATAAAAAATTAATTTTTAAAAAAAAATTAATTTTTTAAAAAAGTTTAATTTAATACTTGACTTTACTTGCTTGTTTATCAAAAGAATTCTTTAATTTTTTTCTTTTTAGAACTTTAATTCTTAAATGCTAATTTATAAAGGTACCGCTTTATTGGTATTTCTTTTTGGACATTCTTCACTTTTTACTTTTGGTTTTGACTTTTACCCTTGCCTAAATGAATGACGAAACACGAATTGAATGATTGGAGAGTTAGGTTTGGAGGCAACTTCCCCTTGATAAGTCTGTCTCCAACAGTCATTCACTTATGCATTTTTAAAAAAATTGTTGAATTAATTTTAATTTGCTAAATTATTGAATTTATTTTCATGGATTGTTTTTGCACGTGATTACTTATACTTCTGAATTTAAATGATATTGTAGATTAGTTCGAGAATTAAATCTTTTATATGTTTGCACATTTTTTTTTAAAAATTATTTTGGCTTTAAATTTAATTTTGGCTTTAATTTTGCTTTTTTACTTTTATACGTGTTTGTTAAAATTTAAATTTCAATTTGTTTAAATTTAAATTTTAACTTTTAGGCGAGCTTACTACAATTTCTAATATATATATACTGTTTTGTTTGTTTCTTCCGTTTCGTTGGAAATGTGGTTATCGCTTCTGCAATTTGGGTTACTTTCAGATACTTTCCAGCAAAGTAAAAATAAATGAGCAAATGTTTAATATTGCTTTAGATGGGCGTGGTTTCAAGGGAAACCGGCCCCTTTTCCATAAGGGGGGGGGAAGAAAACATTTTTTTTGTGTAAGGAATTATTTGTGTACAGGAAAAAATTATGTTGTATATAGGACCACTGCATGCTATTCTGCTTACTTTTTCAAAACGTTTAAAAAATCATAATATTGCGCCCCTGAAAGGGTTAACAAGAAACCTTGCCTTTGAGTTTGCGATCTTTTTGTTGTATTCCAAGTTATAGTGTAAGGATCTTAAGTTTTACTAACGTTTATTTTATTTTAAATCTTTACTATCACTTCTTATTTTCTACTTCCGGCCAGAATTATAAGCGTGAAGGAGTTTATGCAAAGTTTGTCTGGCGAACGCCAAGTATTTAAGTGTGGCCTTTTTGCCAAGAGAAAGAGAGGAAGCAGTGAGTTCGAAGCAGGCCGCTTACCTTAGAAGTTACGCAGTTGCTATTTGCCTTCCAGGCCAGAGGTTTTAATCCTCTTGATAAATTAAACGTATTGTAGTGTTCACAGTCTCTGTGCTACATACACTTCCTGTTATTATAAGGCCAATCTTCCACGTGTATTATTCTAAAGTTAAATTAGAGTTTAGTTTATTTTGATTCTTTTATCTTTTACGTTAGACCCCGAGTGGAGGGTCATTGTATTCCGAAGTACGGAAGTCATTGTATATAAAGAAAAATAAAGGGTTTTGTATACCCTTCGTCTGTATCCTGTCTACTTACTACAATTAGTGAACATAGCTTTAGTAAGCTCTCTGTTCCTAGTCAGGTCCTTGTATGTTTCCGAAGAAGGTTAGAAGGAACATTGAACCTGATAATAGATAAATCATATTTTGTGTCTAGATTTTGAAATATGCTTTCGAGGCATTTGCTTTTAGTGGCAAAAACTGAAGTAACATCTGTACAGCAATACAGTGTTTTTCCGCTAAACGTTCAAGAAAACACTAGTTTTTCAGTATGTTCTTAAAATTGAAGAATTTTTATGTGCCAGGTTGCAGTAGTTTGGCACTTTTTTGAAACTTTGGAGATTACTAAGGTCGTTGTGCTAATACGTAAGTACCACATGCTTTTAGTTGCCCACCAGAGGCCGAGCGGTAAAGTCACTGAACACTGGTAGTTCGTCCGATTTTCGAATCCCGCGAATGGGCTGGCTGGAGGGGAGATTTCGGGGTTTTCCCCATATGTGATGCGTATATGAGCCAATTTCTCTTAGAAAGCCCTCCTCGAAGGCATGTCTTTCAAGGGCATAGCCCTCGAGTCTTTGTCTTAATTACACAAAGCAAACCTTATGCTTTATCATATTTTGATGTCAACCAGAAAGCACGATTGCAGCTGAAATTAACTCTTCTTTATTACCAACGATTTTTCACTGAATGCACAAATTATACTGAAATCTGAGCATAGTTGTTATAAATGTTGCTTGTTTAGGCATCAGCATTTTGACTCGTACGAACAGAGATCAAAATAAATTCTTAGAAGAAAACAAACGACTTTAACGTTCCAATACCAACTTCGTAAAAGCCCGAATTTTGGAATCTGATAACTGCTTACATAATTAAATACTGTAAAAAAACTTGTATATGTTATCGCAATGTATGAAATGACGGCATTCTGTAGGGCATTTTATAGGCATTTTATTTATTTTAGGTAAAATATGAAGTAGGTGATTCATTATGTACTTTAACTAGGCTTTCTGTAGAATGACAAATGCTCTTTAGGCTAAGCATGAAAAAGAGGTCATGTTAGGTTATTATTTAAAAGATTCATTCCTAAAAAATACAAATGTTATTTTGAAGAAATAATGAATGATTGTCCTTAAAAAGTTTTATTCAAAAATATGAAAAACAAATTAGTGAGATTGTATTTGGTTGAAATTTCTTTCAACATTCTGTCACATCTTCCGTATTCAAGAGCCAAGTAATTTACATGAAGCACGTGAAATAACTCAGTGTCTGTGACGTAATACTGTTTAGTACCGACACGTCTTCTCTAGCAGGATAACAGAGTTTACTTTTATTTTCCCACAAACATCACATCATAGCAGTTCAATAACCAACAGTGCCATAGCTCCATTTTAGTAGTTATTTTGGCCTTTTTTACATCATTTATTAACTTCTGGTAAATAGTTCCGGGTATTCGAAACGATATGCATTTCATAGTTTGCCAGTTTGTCATGCATATTCACAAAGCCTACAGACCATTTCTCTAAGGTCTGCTCTCATTGGATGAAACATCTGCTTGGCGGTCATATTTGGAATGACGAGTTATCGCCCTGTAGGCGTGGTAATTAACGCCAAACAAATGGAAACAGCGTTCATTTCATTCGATAATTTTTTTATTTTATGAATGAAAGCTAAGAGGAATTGTGTGGAATATATTTTAAATAACCTACTAATCTTATTAATAGTTTATTTGAATTTGAATTTAAACTGTTTAAAGTACGATAATTGTTTTGTAAGTAAAGGTTTTTACATGGAAATGGCACGTGTACTTTTTCGTCATTTCTGTTAGAAAGAGCCTGTTGTGTAAATTTCCATAGCGCATTAATTTATACAAATAAAGGAATATTAAAAAATAAACCAAATGAAAACATTCAGTAAAACATTAAGGGCGTCGGATACCTATTCTTTTTTTACCTAAATTATGAAAAGTAAGTATAACTAAAATAATATTTTATCCCATTATGCGCTATTTCTATTGAAACGCTTTTCGGGACCTTGGATCGTAATCTTGCTATTGGTACCTACTACAAAGAGTACAAACCAGTAAATAAAAATAAGAAAAATTAACAAAAATAGAGAAAATAAAGGCGTTTAATTTTTAACACCGTACCCAAACAAATAATGACGAAGTCATTCAATAAAGTTAAAATAAAAAATTAAAAAAAAACCCATGTAGAGCAGAGTTTATGAAAGCTACAACAAACGAGGATAGAACCGGTGATCTAGAAGTCTGAGAATTTCTTCCGCGCTCGTTACCGCTGAGGTGCGTTTTCGCCTGTCAGATATGCTCAAATTTTGGTAAATAATATGCTTAAAATATGCTTAAATACAAATTCTAAAGGCGATGAACCAAAAGTCGCCAAGCACTAGGTTCTGTAACCCTACGTTTCCTGTTTCAACCAATCGGAGCAAACAGCAGTAGAAACAGTCTGTAGGCTTTGTGAATAAGCGTTTGTTATTTGCCATTCTATAGAATACCTAGGCAATGTGCAAAATGTTAAATCGTTTCATAGGCTATCGCCAGTTTCTGGCATTCTATAGAATGCCGGATTTGATTTGCGTTGCCGGTAACATATATATCCGCCAAATGTTAGAATCCTTTTGTACGTCGCACCTAATAAACTGAATAATTAACTTGCCCAGTTGGGTAACTTATATGCAAACTGGAAAAGCAAAACTTATGTTGTACTGAAAATACACATTTTGAAAGTTTTGTACTGATTGATAATTATGCAGAGGAAACCTCCAATGGTAATTAAGCTTAAATGAAAAAAAGGAAAAAAGTAATAGCTTGAAAGTTTATAAACTTGAATTTTATTTATGTATTTTAATTATTTCCCTCAAGTACGTATTTAATCTTATAAACATGGACTTAAATATGAACAACTAAACAAATTAGCAAGAAGTAATGTTAACTTACCCCGGAATGTAGTAAGCATAATCCTTCATTTTTGAAAATATAGATTTATGACCTGGGATTAAAATTCAAAATTTATTGTAAAGGATCCAAATAATTTATGGGGCAGTTAATGGGGCATTTTTTTGACACCCTTTGCTTGAATTTATGTGTAAGTAAGTGATTTAATTTTGTATTTCAGTACTATGTTTCGTGTCACGGGTTTTGCGCATTGTTGTTCAAAAACACACGAGACACGTCTTTAGTTAAGTTATTAAAAGAAATAAAATTTTTGCTTTTGCCACGTAACATATAAACTTGGAACTTAAAACTTACTCGTAGTATTACTTTCTCGTAAGAAGAGATATTTCATAAATCTGGTGGCAATTTGGTGAGATATGAACAAATTTTAAAGCTATGAGGTAGCAAATATTTCATTATGTTTGCAGTACATCTTGCGCAAAAAATAAGGGGGCAGTTCTATATCTCCCATTCTACTGGGCCTGTTGACGAAATTTAGCTTTCGTTTTTGATGTCTCGAAAGCACGACTTCGAATAAATATATTAGATTAATATATATTGTTGATCCGACATAGATTTTTTTTGGCACAAAATCACACTTTTTGGCACACTTTTTCTGAAATAACATATCCAATTTTTTCCATATTTGATTCTACTCTGCAAATCATATAAATTTTTGAAAAAATGTTAATTTTATAACATATAAATTTTTACCCTCGCCTTAAAGAAGATTACGTGAATTTATATATTGGTGAGTATTGAAATTTGGCATATTTGTTATTGTTAAATTTGCTTACTTACTTACAAACAGTTGAGTTGCTGTACCGCCTATTAAATGATTATTATCATCTGCACTAAATTGGTGGAGCATTCTGTTGTCTCTAGTCCCAGCCAAGTTAGATCAGAGACCCAGCGATGTCTGGTAAATAAAAAAACTTAATTCAATATTAATATTTATGGCAGAATTTCTAAAATTAGTTCAGAAATTGGATATTTGTGAACTGTGGTTATTTTAAAGAGACCCTGTTAAGAATCTGACTGTGCTGAACGAAGATTTTAGCAATTTTTTATGCATTGTGATTCTGAGTTTACAGAGAATATTTACTCTAAAAATTAGTGGTAACTTGGATATAAGAAGTTATTCAGATGCATTATACTGAACAATATTAGCTGGGTATATTTATATACATCATATGTGCGGTTCACATATTTGCAGAGTTTCTTAAGTAATATTTGCTTGTCACAATCATAGTAGTCACTTCTGCTATTCACTTATTTACAGTTCGCTTACAATTCACTTATGCACAGTCTGCTTGAGCGATAACTAAAGATAACGCTTAGAAATACAAATCAGTGTGTAGAGCTGAAAATTAATGTGTTCATTGCAAAACATGGGCGGTTCACTTACATACAGAGGATCGTTTTATATCTGCTTAGCATTTTGTATCGGTTACTGGTATAGAACCCTTGAAGATGGGACTTGAAAATATTAAGTTCATTATAACACCACTCAGCTGCTAGATCTGTATAGAGAGCATTTTTACTTCCTTCTACGAAGTAAAGGTAGTACTGTGATCGCGAAACATTTTCGGGCACCGCATTTCAACGAAAATATCGATTTAATTTTATCGAAAAATTTAACAACGGTTTTGCTTGGAATCTATACGTAAGGACAGAATAAAGGACTTTTTTCCCCAAGAACGAAGTGCAAAAAGGAATAAAAATGGATTCAAAAGAGATTTTTTTCGTGACTTATCTACGTATGTATGTATCTCGCATAACTCGAAAACGAGTAGCCTCAGAACGTTGAAGTTTTGTATATAGGACTGCGATAACATGTATATGTGCACCTCCCTACTTTGGTTGCAATAGGCTGCACTTAAAGTATATCAATATATATTATACTCACTCTGTTACTCGGCTCCTCGAGCTCAGTTTTTTATACTTATATGGTGGTAAATTGTGCATTGTTTGCTTTAAAAGTGATAGAATTACATTGTTCTTATCTTCTGGTTAAGGTTTTTATGCCTTTATTTAATCTGCATGCGATAGTTGTAGAATTATCAGAAATTTAAAAGTTGTTTAAGTGCGGCTAAGCCTAATTTTGTTTACCATAGCAGCCATATTTGTTTACTTTTGAAACTTAGGAGAATAGTTTCTGCATTTGCCGAGTGGGGGCCAAAAGTAAAAGTTCATTTTTGTGCACCGAAAAATCTGCCTTATTACACGCTGGCCGATTGCTTGTTTTTGCGTAGAATTTTTGTAAAAATTGTTTTAACCATATTTCGTTGTTCTATATTTTTCAACAATAAAGATATTTTGAGGTTTTATGTACTTTTGCCTTACCGCGACGTGAGAACTGAATTAATTGAATGAGATATATATTTCTAATGAAATTCGAGGAAAAAAATGAAATGCAGCACAAAATGTGTATAATTTAATAAGCGATACAAGGAATTCATGTAGTGTCCGCATCCGATTTTTTAATGACAGAGATGGCTTATAGGAAAACTAGAAGGCTCAAAATTTAACTAAGTAAGGTATTAGCTAAAATAAACCGTACCAATGTATAGAAAAAGAGTCAAAAGAAATATATAATTGTGTTATAAATGATACATTTCTCACACTTCTTTTGGTAAAAAGAAACTGTTAACTTTGGGAAACTTCGGGCAAACAAACGAATTAATCCGAGCTTGCGCTTAAAATATTTGGTTTGAGAAGCAGAAGCGCATTAACGGTCTAGAAAGTAATGTCTCATAGTTCTTCTAGGGTTCGGGGTTTGGTAACATGACAGAATGCAGTGGTTTTTCTCTTGCGCAACTTTGATGCAAAACTATATATACCTTAAAAAATTATCTAAAGATGTTGCTCTTAAGCATAACCTTTCCTTGCTATGTAATGATAATTTATTTAATATGACGTACCTAAAATTAAAGAAAACATAAGAAAAGACAAAACAATTCCTCGTTGTTAAAAATTCACCAAGGATTTGATAAATACAAGCAAGATTTTATTTATAACTCTGGTATTTCTATGTTTTAATGTCCCGTGGTGTTAGTGTGCTTCGTTATTATTCTCGCTTATCGTTGTTAGAAGAAATTACATTAATTACTAAGTATTAAATTAATAAATTGATTTGCCTTAATAATTAATTACACAGTGATAACGAATTTTGTGCAGTTTACTTTGAAATCTTTTTCGCATTTATTCATGCGCTTACCAACGGTTGGGCGGTAAAGTCGTAAAAGACTGTTGATCCGGCTTCGAATCTTCGCGAACGGGCTAGTTGCATGAGCGTTTCCGTGGTTTTCCTAATGTGTTACATGTATACAAAACAATTTTCCTTAGAAAGTCCTCCTTGAAGGCATCCCTCTTCTTAAACAGATATCCCTCGAGTACTTTGCCATACCTAAGTAAACCAAATGAAACCATTTCTTCATGCACACTGCACACGATATATGTACATTATAGAACAGGCATCGCCAGCCTTTTTGGCTGCTGGTCATATTCAAACAAAATATGTGAATTAAGAAGACGTTTCTGGTGAGTGGTATTTTCATTTTAAAAGGTCTTTCTTGATGAATAATAAGATGCACTTTATTGAGAAAATAATGACAATGCGCTTTAAACTTAAACATAAAAATTACAATTCTAATTAGTACAAAAACAAAGCTAAGCCGAATGAAGACAAAATACCAAAGGCAAGTTTTTTCGCTACTGAATTTATTCTTGTTTCACTGAACAAGCGCAATAATTGAGATAGAACTAAGAGAACTGAGATATTGAAATTCATGTTGCCAGATGTCTGTCAACGAATTATGGATTGCCTTTGCCAAACTTAACCTATTTCTCTTTGGAATAATGCTACAATTTATATTTTTTAAAAATAAAAATGCATGTTCCTTACTTTAACTTTGTAATCGAACAAAAATATTATTGCTATTATTTATTTTCGATTCATTTTTTTATTTATTCTTCAAGTGTTTGTTTCATATTTATGATTCATAATTGATTTTTATATAGTAGTGTTACGGTTTTGGTATTTAAATAGCTAATGTTAGTTGAATTATAAATTAAATTGTTTTATTCCCCATGCAGTGTAGCGCGTGATGAATATTAAAGGAAAGCTAAGTCGGAAAATTAAAAATACAAGAGCACGTGCATTTAACATTTATTAAATAAATATCACTTTTTGATTTCGAGAAAGTTCCAGAAAATTCTAACGCGCGATTTAAAATCTTATAAAAAAAGGAAAACTTCTCAATTCGTAGTTAAAACTAAAGTGAATTGGACCAGCTTTACAGATAAACTACGGAACATGCCTTGTAATCCCCATCTGAGAGACAGCGGGGAAATTGAAAGTGAAATTTATTCGCTGACTTCCAAAATTCAGAATGCGATTAAGAGTTCTTCGTATGCTTGCAGAGATACCTTAAGGAATAAACTCCCTGAAGATATATCTCGCGACATAAAGGAAAGAAATAGAATTAGGAAAAGGTTTAATGTTACGCAAGACCCTTCACTTAAAAGGACTACCTCAACAGGAAAATTCAGGCCGGCATCATGGAATTCAGGTCAAGTAATTGGGATTATCTTTTAGAGCATTTTAGCACTGATACAAGCTCTATGTGGAAAATTGTGAATGCGATGAAAAAAGATAGGACGTATCACATTGCTCCAATTAGTCACATGAGATCCACCCACTATTCTGAAGAAGACATAGCCAATGTGTTCGCAGAGAAACTTGAGGAGACGTTTAGGCCCAACCCCTCGACCAACCCTCAGCACGAAGAGGAAGTTCAAAATGTCGTTAACATGCTCAAAAACAGGGATAATACGGATTATATAAAATTCATCTCCCCCGAAAGAAGTCCATACTATCATTAAACATATCAATACCAAGAAAGCTCACTGGGTTTGACGGGATCAGCAATCGTGCTCTGAAGGCACCTCCCTCCAAGGTGTATAGTGCTACTTACAAACATCTTTAATGCTTGCATCAGGACGAGTTATTACCCATTCGCAGTGGAAACACTCGATATTATCACTATACTGAAGCCGGGGAAAAAACCCTCACTTGCAGACAGTTATCGTCATATTAGCCTTCTTCCGGCTATCGGAAACAATATTTTGAGAAAGAGCTTTA